TCACGTAGAACCATAATAAAAGACTTTGGCCGGTCACTCGTAATTTAGTGCCGTCCGATTGCACCATATTTGTTTAACTTCTGATAATTTTATTTCATTGAAATGGACAAAGAGTACTTCTGAAAGGTGGGAGGAACTGGGGCTGGACCGCTGAAGAAAAAACAAACAGAACCATTCAAAACATTCAACGTGGTAAATTGACAATAAATGCAATGAGGGCTGGATATATGAAAACTTTCAATCAAAACTCGAGCGATTGAATATATTAATAAGCAAAATTCTTCTCGAATGGTTGGTTTAGAATTAAAATATTAGGGTTAGTATTTTCCTAAAAGCACCTAATTGATATAAAAATATGTTTTTAAAATTATTTAAAGAAACATTAATATTGAAGTGGGGTAAAAATTGATTTAAAAATATTCTTATAAAAAAAATTGATTAATTAATAAATAAATGCTGATGATAGAGTGGGCCGGGCTACTCTCTCTGGAGTGCGTAGGGATGTCACTAGTGATTGGCGGGACTTCCAGATCCCTCACGGCTGGCTACCAAGCAAGCACTAAAACAAAACCTCCTTCCTATAATCCTACGTACTCGTTCTACCCAGAAAAGAAAACAACGGGAATGGCTCCTTCCCAAGCCCCCTATAGATATGTTGAAGTTCATTCCTTTCTAACCGAATAGCTTTATCAAGAAAATACATTACAAAGGAATTTAGCAAAACTAAAAGAAATGAAGATTTGCTCACTCTTCTTAGGCCTCCGGCCTCCCTTTGGTTATCCTCATTTCCGGTAACAAATCAATTGTTTGTTTTAGTTATTTACAAAAATTGATTTATTTTAATACATAACAAAACTAAACGTTTATACATTCCTTTTAGTGTGTGCATATATACCATATGTTTGATCCAAATATGTGTTGTGTGTATATATATAGCCAGACGTGTAAAAAGTTAGGTAGAAATGTTTTATTAATTATGAAAATCATGCACACCAAAATTTCAAATAATTGGATGTATATAACAGCATATAATTTCTCTGCATGTTGGTTTGGCCAATAAAATTGACTCCTCTTATCTTTGCTGTGCAAGAGAAGGGATGAAAACCTGAAGAAAAAAATCAGGTAGTATGGGGAGAAATTGATATTCGACATTGATAAAATTGAAGGATAAACGAGAATAAAAATAATTGCTTCCTACTTCAATTCAAACCTTGTAACGAAGACCCACAAATGAAATTAGAGTTAATAACCAAAAATGATTATTGTTCACTAAACCAACCTTGGAAAAGGGAGTCATAAATTCATTTCTTTTTATTTGCCTTTTTGATTTGCAGATCAACAATGCACATATAGCCAAAAGGCAGAATCTTCCATCCAGCAACAAAAATGACTAGTGATTTTCGATCTTTTGACTCAGATTTGAGAGCAACCCAAATTAAAAATAATAATAATAATAATAAAATATGAGAAATCACTAAAAACCTATTTCATAAAATAATTGTTGTCAAAAATTACAAATTAAAATCACTTCTTGTAGTTTCTATGCCAATGAGCAAAAGAGTTGCTTTAAGTTTTTGGCCTTTACCTTCTTCCAATCAAAAGCCATGATCCGTTTCGTTAACACCTAGACATTGAAAATTGCTCCAGAAAAACAAATGATTCAATTCAAAGGAGGTCACAGAGGCAATAAAAGAATGTAAAAGAGAAAATGTGTAAATAAATATATTAATTTTGTATTTTTTCTATTTAAAGATGTTAATTTTATTAATTTTAAATAATGGTATTAACTTTTAATTTTTTTATTTAATGATATTAATTTTTAACTTTTTTTTATTTAAAAGATATTAACTTTTAATTTTTTTTATTTAAAGATTAATTGAATGATGATAATAATGTGAAAAAAAAGATTTTTTAACTAGAATATTGAAATTTGATATCTTTAAATAGAAAGTTAAAATTTGACATTCCAATAAAAAAAAGTTAAAAATTAACATTTTTATTTAAAAATTGATAAAATTAATATTTTTAGATAAAAAATACAAAATTAACATATTTATTTACACCTTCTCTCAAGCGTACAATGGAATAATTTACGGTTTGAGGATGTAAATGATTAAGGGAGAACAGTGAACTTAAGTGAAAGGGGAATTAATCTTAAGTTTAATAGTCTAGGGTTAGCTTGTTGGCAGACATAAATTATAATTTTACTAAAAGATTAAGGGGCGGTTACTTTAATTTTCAGAAGACAGCCCTAGGCTCTACAGACGTCCACGACTCATTGTGAATGCAATTGTCCCCGTTCCCCTCCTTCACTCAGGTAGCAGCCATCTTTGAGTCTCTGGTTTCTTCTTCTCTCCGTGACATCGGATCCTTCCTCAATCGGTGAGTTCTTTTGATGCTATCCTTCCTCGAATTCATTTGATTACAGGTATTTCAACCACCTGTACATAACCAAAACCCCTTTGTACATCGACAGAATTTCTGTAGTTTAGAAGGCTCGATTTTGTCCCCCAATTTTTCTGGGTAAAGTCGTGTTTAGAGCTGTTGTTCTGTGTGCGTTTTTGCTGTTGCGCTGCAGCTTATTCAGCTGATGGAAATTTTCCTTGTCCATCGTCCTATTTTGTGTACTCTACTTTCATGAATTCCTCTTTTTCTATATGCTCTGTGGCCATGTTCAAACTGAAAATCTTATCTTTATTTATTTATGTGTCTTCATTCATCGTTGTTTAATTTGAAGTGCAATAAGTCAAATTTGCTTTTAAAGTTTTAAAATTTCACTTCTAAGTGCGTGTTTGCCTTTACATTGTGTGTTGTTAGTAGAATCTTTCATCTAGGAAATAAGTGGAAAGAGAGAAAATTCTTTTTGTTGACAATTGCTGCTGTTGGTCTTTTGGACCCTAGAGTTTTTGGTTTAGGAGCAAGCTAGTTTGAATTTGGGGTCTCTGTGTTTCACAGAGGTTTTGAGGTGCTCGTTTGCAGTTCCTCACACCTAACCATACCCCAAAATCCCTATACCAACCAAATTTTAAGTTGACATGCTCCATCTTATAATTTGAGTGAGTGAAGACTACTTTTGCCTAATTTTCATGCTTATTATTTAGTTTTTGAATTTTAAGTGGTCATCAACAGGTCCACTAGGCTTTTGTTGCTGTTGGCATCATCACAAAGGCAGCCACCTCAAGAATAAAGATGAAAGTTAAGAAGCAGAAGCGTCATAGGAAGACTGTTAGATTCTTCTCTGTTTGCTTTGGGTTTAGGCAGCCCTTCAAGGTGCTGTGTGATGGAACATTTGTACATCACCTCCTTGTCAATAACATCACACCCGCCGACACTGCTCTCTCTAATTGCCTTGGTGCCCCCGTCAAGCTCTTCACCACCAGGTAAGCTCTTCCTTCACTTTCTTTTTAGTTATGCCTAATCTCCCTCAAACTTATTTGGTCTTCTAATAATTTCTTTTAGATGTATTCTTGCGGAGCTGAAAACTCTTGGTGCTTCCTATTCTCACTCCTTCCAAGCTGCTAACAAACTGACAATTGCAAGGTGAGTTGCTCCCTTTCTCTTTGTTTCATCACTTCTACATTTGATTTTCCATCCATCCTTCTTGCTCTAGTGTGTGTCTGTTTGTATGTTATGTTAGATTCAAATTAGTAGCGTGCTTGTTATTTAATATGATTATTTAAGAAAAATTTTCATGGTTAAATTTAATTCAGATGTGATCATGAGAAGAGGAAGGGTGCCGATGCCTGCATTTTGGATGTAATTGGACAAAATAATCCTGAGCACTTTTTTGTTGCTACCCAGCATGTTGATCTTCGAAACAAGCTTCAGGAGGTCAGTCAGTGAACTAGTGTTTCAATTTCTTGGCTATTTTAAGTTGGATAATTGCAGTGTGAAATTTTGCCTGTGCTTAAAGTAACATACCTGAGTAGTTTCATCAAAAAACCAATTTCTTAGTCTGAAAAGGGTTGGATATGTGAGTACCCTTGTTGCTTGCTTCGTATTAGTTGTATTTTGATGGAATTATTGTTGACATGATGAAAAGCAACTTCTCATCTGTTATGTGTCAGCTAGCCCAATTGCTTGTGTACAAAGCTCTACTACCTAATCTTTGCTTCTGGAATGTATGACAGAGAAAGTTGATAGTCCATGTTTCTTAATTTTTTAATCATTTTTCCTCCATTAATGACACCTTTAAATATGCATTTTATTCATCTCGTTTATCTTCCTTCAGGTGCCTGGTGTTCCTTTAATATTTGCTCTAAGAAATGCCCTTTTCCTTGAGCCACCATCTTCATTTCAACATCAGTTTGTCAAAGCTTCTGAAGAAAAACGTCTGCATATGACTGAAAAGGATCATAAGTTATTGGAGAGGAAGACTGGGGGCCTTTTGGAAAATGAGGATGTAGCACAGTCTAATGATGTTGAAGGTTTAGAATCTCATGATCCTGGATTGCAAGCGCACAACACAAGAAAGCGTAGTACTGGAAAGAAATTAGGCGTGAAGGACAGAGTTCAATTCAAGAGAAAAAAAGCTAAGGTGAACTCCTTTTCACCACATCCTTTTAGACTCTCTTTACTGTTGAGGTACAATATCTAAGTATGTAATGCGTTTGCTGGTTATAATGTATGAAAGCTAAAAACAAGCTTACAGAACATTAGTAAATTTAGAAGGATTGCTAATTAAATATTAAAAGGAAAAAAAAAAAATGAAGAATAAAACATAACAGGTGAGGTGTACCATTCCCATTGTGATTGCTTTCTTTCAAGTGGTATCCTATATCAACTCTTCCTCTTGAATTTTGCAGGGTCCAAATCCACTTTCATGTAAGAAGAAAAGAAGTCATGAAAACCCAAATCCTTCCTCCATTAAGGTCAGTTTTTCATACAATAACTTTTATGCATGGCTCTACTCCACCCCTCACCCTGCCTCCTACTTTCTTTTAAGATTGATGTCTCATAACTCTGGTGACACTGAATTGTCTGTATATGGTGAAATATTCTTATTTGTAATAATCCTTGCACTACTAGCTTTAATGGATAGATTTGTAGAATGAAAATAGCATATGTTACATAAATCTTGAAGACTCCAATAGGATTCTGAATATTCTGGTTCTGGTTGACATCCTGCCATATCTGTCAACTGTCTAGTGCCAACATTAGTTACAGTAGCCAGGCTGATTAAAAGTCTTTAAAATAGCACATATTTTCTTGTTTTCCTTTAATGTTTCTTTTTCTTGTTGTAATGGAGCTTGAGATCTAAAAGCTTGTGTTGGGTGTGGCAAAAGAGAACATGTGCATATCGTTTGCTTTTAATATGTTATGTGATCTATGGTAGTATGGAAGTTTTAGGCACATGACATGGCTCAAGAAATTTAATGCAAATATGATGGAAATAAATTCTGATGTTCTCATGATTCAACACTTCTCTTTAGGAATCTAAAGAAGGTGACAATATTGTGAGAAGGAACAGGAGAAGGAAGAGACCACGCAGAGATAAAAGCATTGCAGGGGCAGACAAGGACAGCAAATGATAGCTTATTGCTAGTGCATCAAATTTTGCCTTGGAGATAGGATTTTGCTGCGACTGAGAGATTAGTTCTTGATTGACTTGCTTATTGTAAGTTTAGAATTGGATGACTTGAGGATTGAGTACGGAAGTTGGTAATTTTGCAACAGTCATGGGGGGTTTGGAACTCTGAAATAGGGCATGTCAATCTCGAGTTCAACACATCTTTCTTTTTTTCTTTTTGCATTCTTTGGAATTGTCAGGGACATAATCATCTGTTATTTATTAGTGCTCTAAGTTAGATTTGGTTTGATATGGGCCCTCTTTTATTGGGATTTCTATTGTAATTCTTTGATTATTAATGAATCTAGTGAATTTTGATTTTTAAAAAAAGTTGGACTAAATGGGCATGACTCAATAATATAAATATTTAGGTCGGATTGAAACGGAAACAGGGAGAGAGATATATTCCAATAAGTTATAAAACGCCAGGTATTTCGTTTTCCACTCCGACAAACTTCACCACTTGCACGTTCAGAAAAGAAAAGGCCTACTTGTTTCAGCCATATTTTTTGCTAAATCAACAAAAAGGCTGCAGCGTTGCAAACAAATTTGCCCCCTTTGTTATTTTTACTTCGAAGTATATCATTGTAAAACTTGTATTGTATATGTTAATCTCATTATCTTACCTTCCTCGTATCTCTGTAGAATTGTGACAAATATTTAGCATTGAATCTATGCACTTCATAAGAAAGGTAGGGTACAGTGTAAAAAAAATACATGATCTCATAATTCTCATCCATGTTATACCATTACTTTTGTTAACTGTTTAAGTTGAGGGATAGAATTGTGACAACTATGATATGAAGCTGAGAAGATGACTTCTTTCCACTAAAATCATAGTAAACAAAAAATAAACTACAAGGACTATAATGATCATTCTAAAAAAATGTAAGTACAACTCTTGATATTAACCTCAAAAGATTCACAAAATATGTGATGCCTCCAGGTTACAAAAGGTTAAAGTAACCAAACAACAGAGATGAGATTCATCTTTATAAGCTGAATAAACTAAAGCATTGCCCACTTCAAAAAGGTTACTCTGAACATGTTACAGGTCATATCTCAAGACCAAAAGAATTGCAAAAAAAAAAAAGAAAAAGAAAAAAAAAAGAGACAAATGTTTCCCCCCAAGTAATCTGACCTTAATCATCTAAAGGGTTACCATAATTGACTCCTCTAACAATATTAGCAATTACCAAAAAATTTCCCACTTCCAAGCATATCTAATCTGACCTTAATAATCATCTCCATCTTAATCTTGATCATGGCAAAACAGAGCTCTGATTTGGGGGCTGTCCGGATGACCAAATTTGCACCACTGCATTCTTCTTCAGTGTGCACTGATTCCCATCTACCACTGAATTCCACTGCTCATTAAACACAAACACTCTGGAATTTTTCATATTCCACTTGGTCAGGTGGATTTTTGATTTCTTCAGACATGGTTCTTTCAGCTCAACATTCAGCCCCTTTTCATCCAGCTTCCTTTCTTCCTCCTCTGTAAGAAAATCTGCCATCACCTAATTCTGTATCAGCAACTTCTCTTCAGAACCACCCATCTCTTCAATCAAATTCTTGAATTCAGTTGGCATGTTTGGTGGAGGCACCAAACCCCATTCAGCAAGTTGTGCCATTACCTTGTTATTCTCAATCTTTCCGTCCTTGTGCCTCTTTGGTTTACTCAGCATTTCCTCTTCACTTTCTTCACTCTCACGGCAGCGTTTCTTACTCTTGTTCCTCTTACGTTCTACAAGCTCAGCATCAGAGAATCTCGTTTCAAAATCTTTAAGAACAGGGGCTCCAAATTTTTTGAGAAAACCACTACCAGTAGTGATTATCAGGGGTTTCCCTGGGTTAGATCTCTGTTTCTTGGGCACGGAAAGAAGCAGAACTGGGAAGGGCGGGACAGGGCAACTGGCACTAGAACATTGTTCCGCTTTCCTTCTGTTGGACCCCTGTTTCTTCGGAATAGAAAAACCCAGAACTGGGAATGCTGGAACAGTTGGGCAGTAGGCAGAATATAGTTTCTGTTTCTTATTGAATTCCTGATTGGCCTCCTTAAACTAATCAACTAGGGTAAGGCCGCCATAAACATCCATCATATTAAGACCCATCAAGTCAATAGATTTCTTGATCCAAGAGAATTGAGCGAAAGGGTGATCGCCATTGACAAATTCTGCCGCTTTATTCATGGCATTCTCACGGACTTTCTCAATAAAGTAAAGTAGGTTCTCTATGTCTCAATTATTTAAAAATTTAAGTTTATTATAAGTTATTAATTTATTTCCTCCTAGGCCTAGGAAAGGGAATGCAGAAACAGGGACATCGAGAGATTGCCCCCCTGTTCCCATCGCGTCTTCTTTGACAAAGGAACCAATTGGGGTTTCCATTGGTTCAACAGCTTTATTGAACCTTGACGAGGTTACCAATTCCATGATCTCGATGATTCTTTCTTTCTCCTCAGACAAGAACCCCTGAAGACCCCAACTAGCGGATCCTGTCTCAATTCTCCAACATGTGTTGAAGAAACTGCAATGGGTGACGAAGGAAGAGAAGAATAAAGACATAGCCAAAAGAAGAAAAGAATGAGCAGAATGGTTTTGAGAGGCGAAGCCAAAAAGAACTGAACTGTAGAAGGTTGCACAGGTCTGGGACTACATACATATCACCGGGTTTTTTTGAACTTCGGATGGCATCTGAATTCAGGGGTTGCGCGTGGGATGCCTGTTGAATTCGCGCCCGTGGTGGAAAGTGGGCCTGCCTGTAGTTACTAATTGGTTAAATGCCCAATTTGGTCCCTAAACTATT